TTAATAATTTAAGTACTCTAAATAGAATAGAATAGATCAATAATTAGATTTAGTAATAATTAAAAATAATAATTAATTATTCAATTTAATTATAAATATAAATTAATTTTTTTAAAAGGAACCTAGTACACTAGTTGGTCGAGTCAAAATCAGAGTTTTTGTATGTGATATTGACCAAATTTATTTATTATTACCGGTCATATTGATATTAAGAACTAATCAATTCTAACCCGTTAATTTCGTTTTGTTTTAATATAATTATACGGTGTCCCTAATCTTAAGCATATGTTGGTTACTGGGTGAGATTCCAAAACCATTTTTCAGTTAAGTGCACCCAGCTCTTACAATTTTCAAACAAAATTGAGATTGTCAAAGAATGCATTCCCACTGGAGTATCTTTTATCCATTTAAAAAAAAACATATTTGTAAAAAATGCCGTCAATTTAAAAAACGTGCTTTGCAAATATGTTTTACCCTTAAAAAAAAGTGTAGATTTAAATCACATTTTTTGTATTAAAATAATAAATTAAAAATCAAGTTAAAAAAAATAAATAATTTAAAAAGAAAGGATTGACTTGATGATACGAAGTTACGGGTTAGACATGTTACCTGTGACGAGGAGATCCCCAATTTGATTTTTTGTACTGTGTACATGTTTTATTTCATTCAGAAGAGTAAATTATACTTTGACCCCTTCAATTGTGAATTTGACTTCACTTTATCACTTGAAATATTGAATTTTTACAGTGCCGCCTCAACTTGAATTATTTTACACTGTCTCAAACTCAATTGTTTGTTATTTTTCAAAATAAAAACTATCTACGTGTCAGGACAAAGCTAAAAAAATCACGTAGTTCAAGGGACCAAACGAAACATCGTTCTGTTAAATTTGTAACATGCATTAATAATTTATGCGATGCAAAATTAATCTTACAATCGATAGTACTATGTGAAAAACATGATAGATAAAAGGATAATGTAAAAAAATTATATAGCTGTGGGCCCAAAAAAAATACAATTTATCCAATTCAAATTTAAATCGAATTGAGATTTTGTTTGTCTATTATAAACTGAAGGTTAAGCTTTTTTATCCAAATAATGAAAATTTCAAATTAGACTGAAGGTTATATTCAAGTTGAGTTGCCCAAATTATTCCCCAACTTATTAGACATTAAAGTTGAGCTAGTGTTGAAACTTATACCAATAGACATTTGGTCTAATGATACTTCTTATCTTGTAAACGTTTTGTCTTGTTCAAATCTCTTTCCCAAAAAAAAAGATTCAAAAAAAAAAAATTAGTTTAAAAAAAAAAAGTGTTGAAACTTGTTTGGTTTGAAATTGACAAACCTTAGGGTCACCTAATGATTATTTTAAATTAAGTTATTAGGTATTTTTGATGGGTGTCAACCAAGCTTTAGCTTTTAATTAATTTATCATTTTTCAACTCCTACCACAAAAACGACTTAATGCCATTCATTGGTACACTGTTTTTCAAAACTCTGCGTATAATATCGATTTTTTGTCTTGAAAAATATGGATATATTAAATTGCATAGTGGACTTAAATATGAATTTTTTTTTTCAAACCCTTTTTTAAATATTTCTTTTTTCAAATTGTTTGACAGGGCAATAGGTCTTGCTAATTTTTTTTTTCCTGTACATTCTCTCTTAGAATTGTAATGCTAGATTATCTGTTATAAATTCAAGTGGGACTTGTTACATATAAATATGTGTGTATTAAATTTTTTTATAAATATGTGTGTCGTCTTCCTATAGGTAAGAAATATGGTCTTTCGTCTTCCTACCCGATATTTTACAGAATAATTTTTTCTTGCCCTACCCTACCGGATCAAGTGTGGTATTCCTACCCGACTTCCGGCCAAATTAATCGGCTAGGAAATCAGGTAAACACTTTTGTAATTATTAATTTTTGGATCATTTTAATAATTCAATTAAATAATATACATCAATTTAACAACACAATAAACCAATAACACTAAAATCTAAAGCAATTATAACAACAATTACAATAAAATATAAAAAATATAAACATCAATCTATCATAATTGTTGTACAAATACAATAACAATTATTTTAATATATATATTAATTAATTAATGGGTAAGGTAGGAATACGGAAATTAATGGCTATTCCGCATTCCTACCCGATTTAATTAGAAGACCAAAAACTCTTCCGCATTCTTATTCGATTTTTTTGGTTAGTCGTTCAATAGGGTTAGATAGGGTAGAAAATTACGGCTAATCAGAAATTTGAACACCCCTAGTTGAGAGTCGATTGAAGATAAAATTAGCATAGCAATCAAGACTATTTTTTAGTGTTTTGTAATTGAAATCCTTGTGGATAACTAAATGTTTCTTCTTTTTTGTTAATAATAGTAATTATTCATAGTTCTTTTATCCTTGAAGTTGGAGAATACAATAAAATACGAAGATATTGTCTACCTTAGCATGATTGGATTACCACACGGCAAAGAACCCAAATAATTAGGTTATGTTCTAACTTGTCCAATTAGGGCTAAGGATCCTGTTGATGAAAACAGAGTTGTTTTGATCTAAAACGTTGTCGTTTTGTTAAATAACAATAAAAGTAAGATAAATTTTATCCACAACCCCTATAAATAAGTTTAACTTCAACGACACTCTTCGTCTTTTTTGAAAATTTTACTGCGGTCTCTTCTTGTTTATCTGTCCACTACTGGCTATCTAAAAAATTCTTATGTCATGCAAATATTTTGGTTAAATTTGAAATTTACCCTTCTTCTTGCCCAACAAACTCCTCATCCATAGGCCTCAAAGTTCCCCTTCCACATGCCTCCAAGTTCTCACCCAAAAAAAATTCAAACTCTATTATTATATGTATATAATTGTCAAATTGGATTTTACAGTCAAATATATGCCTTATTTAATATTTTTGGAATGCAACAATCTCATAATATTATGATATAAACAATACTATTATAATCTATTCAATATCTTAAGTAAAAAAATATAATAAATTTATAATATAATTAAATATAAAAATACTAAAAAACAACAATCTTACAATGAAGTTTTATTATAAACAAAGGAGGAATGTCTACACGAGCAGAAGAAAAACCTAAAAAAATGACAAATTAAGTATAAAAAGGGATAAAATCGATCAATAATTAAGTTTAACAATAACTAAAATAAAATAAATTATTTGACACATACTTTATTATTCAATTTAATTAAAAATATAATTTAAATTTTTATAGAAAATATTATTATTTAATTACCCATCCATTGCTAGAATATATATAGTTAATATGTAAATTTATTAGAATAGTTAATATGTAAATTTGTAAAATGGTTAAAGATACATTTGTAAAATAGACATTCATGTTACTTCTGTAACCAAATAAACATTGATTAGGAATAGCAGTGAAATTTCAAAAAAAAAAGTAAAAAGTGCAGTTGAAATTAGTCCTATTTATTCCTAAAAATTAACAAGTTGTACGAGTCCCTTTAATCTGCATGTGCTAGCTTCTTTAATTGGAACACTTGCTTAGGCACAAGTTGTCCCCTCGATTGATACCATAGCCAGATTGACTAAAAAGCTGTCAATTTAACAAAGTTCATGAAATAAAAAATAAAAAAAAACAAAAAATAGACTTTTTTTTGTTCATATAATACTGGTTAAGCTAATTTGTTATGTCAAAATCCCTTATTCGAAACTCGTCCAACGTATTTGTTAGTCGTATATTACAAGTACAACGTACCACTATTGCAACAAAGTTTAAGTGAAAAAATATAATACAACTTAGAGAAGATATCTCGAAAGAGACGTTTCACCAATTATGCTTTTGTTTTTCTGAATTATTTAGGTATGGTTGTATGCAAATGCAATATCAACTTACAAAAAAATTTTCCTAACCCACCCACCCCAAAAAAAAAAAAAACTAAAATTTTGAGGTTAATCCAAGATTTAGTAGATCAGCCCGGACCCACATTTTCCCAATTGCTTGAAACTCCCTGAACCAGGGGGTATGCCTTAGTTGCAAAAAGATTGACTCTTTGTATGTCACAATAGTCCAACTTCAGCATTTAACTATCCCAACCAGCATTCATTACCTTCCCATCCAACCTTCATCAGCACTAAAGTCAAAATCAACATCTAAACGTAGACACACACTCACACAAAGAGCATGTGAATAATTGCACAACTAATTTCAATACTTAATTCGGCAAGTTGACCCTGGAACTGTCACCCACCTAATAAATCCCCCATTTTTTGCCAGTTCTTAGCTGAACAGCTTAAAAAGTAGTAAGTTGGAACCCACCTCAGATCTCTCCAATTCTTTTTCACAAGCAGAAACAAATTCATATGATTCTATTTTGTTTTTTTCTTCTGAATTCAGGAAAAAGCCAAGAGACCCATATCTGCTAAAGTGTTCGATTGATAGCTACCTCTTAAGGGTATGTACTATGCTCCATAAGTATCTTCATTAGTGTTTTCTCTCTACAGCTGCCTGTATCTGCAACCCAGTCTTATTTCTTGTCAAAATGAAGAGTACCCATTGATTGATATAGGTTGTTCTCTTCTAGCCTTGTTTCAATTAATGTTGGTCTTTTCTTCAATTTGCTTCTTGGTGACTTTCTAAATTGTGTATCCTGGAACTTACTATTAACTTGTGGCTGAATAAATTATGTCCATGAATTGTCATTGATGATTCTCCTCTTTTCTTTTCCCAATTCAGCTGGGTCTTCGTTACCTGTGGTGTTTTTGGTTACCCTTTGAGTCACAAAAATTGGTTTTTGATAGAGCTGATCATAGAGTTTGATATTGGTTGTAGACTTGCAGTATCAAAATTTCTTTATTTTTCCATTATTTTTAATCAATTCTCTTCTCCCTCTTTGAGCTTTGACAATCCAAAATTCAGCCGAATTTACATCTGGTAATTTGTCATGGGGACTTGGGGATTCTTCCATTTCATGGGCTTGTGTCTATTTATTCTCTTGATGCCTGAAACATGTATGTCTAGTGTTCAAAAAATTGGCAAGTTGAATCCAGGATTTCGAGGATCTCACATGGATTGGGTTGATAATGATGGGTTGCTTCTGATATCCAATAACTCAAATTTTGGATTCGGCTTTTCTACCACCCAAGATGCCACTTTAGTTCTGCTTGTAATTGTTCACATTAGCAGTTCAACAATACTTTGGTCTGCAAATCGAGCCTCCCCAGTTCAAAATTCCGATGACTTTGTGTTTGATGATAGCGGAAATGCTTACTTAGAGAGTGGTGGAAATGTAATTTGGTCTACTGATACTGCCAAGAAAGGAGTTTCTGCAGTTGAATTGCAGGACTCAGGAAATCTGGTATTGATTGGGAATGATAGTAGTGTATTTTGGCAGAGTTTTAGCCATCCCACAGATACCCTTTTGTCAAACCAACAATTCATTGAAGGAATGAAACTTGTAAGCAATCCAAACCCCAATAATTTGAGCTATGCACTGGAAATCAAGTCTGGAGATGTGTTTCTCTCTGCCAGATTCCGAACTCCACAGCCTTATTGGTCTATGGGAAAGGATAACAGAAGAACTATCAACCAAGATGGTGGGGCTGTCACTGTGGCAACTCTTGATGCTAATTCATGGAGGTTTTATGATCAAAACAGATTGTTTCTCTGGCAGTTTATTTTCTCAGATAGTACTGATGCAAATGCCACTTGGATCGCGGTATTAGGGGCTGATGGCTTTCTCTCCTTCATCAATCTTCAAACCGGAGGCCAGACCAATACTTCTCCAACAAAAATACCAAATGATTCGTGTAGTAGACCTGAAGCCTGTGATCCATTTTATGTCTGTTACAGTGGCAACAGGTGCCAGTGCCTTTCTGGCCTCAACTCATCATGCAAAACGGGGATTGTCTCTCCCTGCAATCAATCAAAAGGTTCTATGGAGCTTGTGAATGCTGGTGATAGGCTTGGCTATTTTGCGCTCGAGTTTGTTTCACCATCTTCCAAAACAGATTTGAATGGTTGCAAAGCCTCTTGCCTTGGTAATTGCTCGTGCCTCGCCTTGTTCTTTGACAGAAGTTCAGGCCATTGCTTTCTTTTTGATGAGTTAGGAAGCTTGCAAGGATCCAGCAATGGTACTGGTTTTGCTTCATATATCAAGGTTTCAACTACTTTGGCCAATGGGGAAAACCCTGAAGGGAGTGGAAGCAAACGCCTTCTTGTTGTCATAATCATAGTTGTTTCAACGGTACTTGTTATTTTCGGTCTACTTGTAGCAGGAGTTTATTACTATAGGCAGAAGAATGGGAAATTGCCAGACTCTCCTGAAGAAGCATCTGAAGATGAAAATTTCTTGGAGGGTATATCCGGGATGCCAATCCGTTTCAGCTACAAAGATCTTCAAACTGCTACAAATAACTTCACTGTTAAACTTGGACAAGGAGGGTTTGGCTCAGTTTATCAAGGGGTTCTTCCCGATGGATCTCGATTGGCTGTGAAGAAATTGGAAGGAGTTGGCCAGGGAAAGAAAGAATTCCGAGCTGAAGTTAGTATCATTGGCAGCATCCATCATTACCACTTGGTGAGGCTCAAAGGCTTTTGTGCTGAAGGAACCCACAGGCTCCTTGTTTATGAGTATATGGCAAATGGTTCTTTAGAGAAATGGCTCTTCAAACAAAAAGAAGATATGATGTTAGATTGGGACACGAGATACAATATTGCATTGGGGACAGCCAAAGGACTGGCTTATCTCCATGAGGATTGTGATGTGAAGGTTGTTCATTGTGACGTAAAACCTGAAAATGTGTTGCTTGATGATAACTACCTTGCCAAAGTCTCCGATTTTGGCCTTGCCAAGCTAATGACCAAAGAGCAAAGCAATGTTTTCACCACACTCAGGGGCACCAGGGGTTACCTTGCCCCGGAATGGATCATGAACTATGCCATATCAGAGAAGAGCGATGTGTACAGTTTTGGAATGGTGTTGCTTGAGATCATTGGCGGAAGAAAAAACTATGACCCCTCGGAAACGTCAGACAAATCCCATTTTCCATCCTATGCTTTTAAGATGATGGAAGAAGGAAAATTGAGGGAAATTTTTGATTCGAAGATGAAGATAGATGAAGAGGATGAAAGGGTAGACATAGCAATGAAAGTTGCCTTGTGGTGTATACAGGATGATATGTGCCTAAGACCACCAATGATAAAAGTGGTGCAAATGCTTGAAGGCCTCTGTCCTGTCCCTCCACCACCACTTTCTTCCCCAATGGGTTCTCGCCTCTACTCAAATTTGTGCAAGACGATGAGCGGGGAGGGCACGTTGTCGCAGCCATCAGACTGCAACACGGATGCTTATCTCTCTGCTGCAAGACTCTCAGGGCCAAGATAGTAGCTTGCAGAAGATAGAGTTGTGGATGTGCCACTCAATTGTACAACGATTTCATTTTTTCCTGCTTTTGTGTATTTGTTAGATTAGTCAAAATTTTGAGTAGCAATTGCAAAGTTCCTAGACTTGTTTGTGTATGTTTCGTCTGTAAATGAATTATACTGCACTTTATAACATAAAGCAAAAGGCTTAAATTTTAGTATAGGGTAAATTTCAATTTACCCATGTAGTTAGGTGCAACTCAATGGTCCTGGGCCACCAAGCCATTGGTGCTCCAGGGCACGTTGGACCAACAACAGTAGGCCACTGGGACAAGAAAGAGGGTTGGTGGGGTCTTAGGTCTCACCTCTTCCCCATTAGGTGAACTCTTTAACTGTAACTCAGGGGCGGCTCATCAATGCTGTTGAAAACGTTTGAGTTTTAGACTTCATTTTTAAAGAATACCCTATATTTTTAGATATCATAAATAGTTCATGTAAAAAAAATAAAATCCATAAATATTTTAACCTTTACAAAAAGGTCTTATAAAAACACTTGCCAAATAAAAAAATAATTAAAATCTCACTTCAATGAAGGCTCCATAATTTATAAGTGTGTAGTAATAATCCAAATAAAAAATTTAACTCCACACCCAAATAAAAGATTTCAACTTAAATAGATTAGACTTATTAATTTAGCCTTGAAATTAAAAGACCTTAAAATTTATTTATTTTTTAATAAAACTAAAGTTACTAAAAAACCTAATTTGAACTCTCAAAAAAATTAAGTTTAAACTTAACATCATAAATTTTCATTATTATTTCTCTCTCTTACCATCAAATTTAAATTTGATAACAAAAGTTGGAATATAAAAATTTAATTAATATTTTTTTGTATTTAAAAAAATTAAAATTTTGATTTATTATTAATATTAAAATAAAAAGCCTTATTTATCATTTCTGCTTTTAAGTTCCAAAATATCTCTGGCCACCCCTATAACTTTATAATCAATGCATTCAAAAATGGCTTGCTCCATATATATTTGATTAAACTACTAATCATATATTGATTTTCTATTCAGCTATGCAATAAATTATTTACAATCTTCATATTTAAGAGTTAAATAATGCATTTATAAATATCCATATCGATTTCATAAAAAGAATGAAGGACGTGCGACTCCTTGGTCCAAGAGTGGCTTCGCTCATACTAGATAGAAAAAAAAAATTAAACTACTTAATAACAAGCTTGAATAAGTACGTGTTAGTGGTAATAGCAATGGTTGTTCAACCATAGTTGGGCGACTTTGTGTGTGTGTGCCTATGTGTGTAAGAGAGAGAGAGAGAACGAAGCGGATTGTTTGGATACATGATTAATTTTATTTCAAGGTGAATTGGTGGCGGGTCCAACAAATTTTTTTTCGTAACTAGTTGATCAATTTTCAGGTAGGTCTATAGCAACTTTTTTTTTGTTCCGACTATAGCAACCTATTGGATCGACTCGACCCTTAAAAGATATCATGTCAAGAGAGCTCGCTAAGCGAGCGACACTCATTCTCCCTTAGGATGTGTAATTAACCTCTATCACTATATTCTAATCATAAAATGGATCCTCTAATTTCCCTTATTTTTTCTAATAATAGTGTGGGGGATAATCCAAAGCCACCTGCTGGTCGAAAATCCACCATGGGAGGCCTATGGCCTTGCCGACTGACGGTCAAATGGCCACCAACCATATTATCCTACAGGTACATCGCTACTACCATAAGCTTGATTGCCCACTTGCATCAAAACAACTATCAAAAGAGTCCTATGTTGGGATTTCACACGCCTTAAACCAACAGACAAACACACACAACCGAAGAACAAACTAAGAACATAAAGCAATAAGAAACAAGAAAGAACAAGACACATATTTTACATGATTCGACAATTTGCTTACGTCCACGAATCTGCAGGAATTTCACTATTGAGAGAGATGAATACAGAGAGCGGCTGTATAAAACACTATAAATACTAATCACCAAAATAACAGGTTTTATATGTCCTGCACACTGGGCTACAAACACAGGCCCAAAAATTAGACTCCACAAAAGGCCCAACATCCTACTCGAATGCAGTTCAACATAGGAGCAAGAATTTTAGTCTAACACCACTCCGAATATTGAGGAGCTAGTGATAAAGTTAATTATGCTGGAAGGTAGTTCAATCCTATCAAAATTCAAAGTTTGAGTTTCAATAGAACATAACTTTCTACCACTATAAATAGAGCCTTCGGGCACTAGATAGGAGGATTCGAGCTCTGGCTATTCACTCTCTTGGCTTGCAATCTGACTTAAACATTGGATTCTCTTTAGTCACCTCTAGTCAACAGTTCACCTTGCTTTCGCTTGTCTTGTAGGACGTTCAAGGCTTCGCCACCATCATCTTCGTCCATCATTGGAGTTCCTTTGGCCCCTTCTAACTATCGGTTCACCTAGCTCTCACTTGTCTTGTAGATTGTTTGAGGCTTTGTTATCATCACCTTTGTCCATATTAGGTCATGACTTGTTGTGCAAATTTTTTCCAACACAATTAGCGCTATCTATGGGAAAAAGGCCAAGTTTTTCGGTAACCATCAATTTGGGAACTAACCGCACGGAACCTATATTCCCCCAATCTTTGAAGATCCTTCGGATTATGACCTCTAATTGTTTGATGAAGCACTACTTTGAGATTGGCTAGAGCACCCAGAAGAGAAACATCCTTCCCGTCATAACCTACCATCTCTTGATACAGAAGGTGGACTAACGACCAAGGTGGAGTACCAGGAAGCGATAAGGAAAAAGAAAAAGGAGTTAGAATCCCTCAAGCAAGGGCACCTTTGCCAAAGAGGCAAAAACTTGCTAGCCAAGTTCAACGCCAAACTCATCAAAGTGACCATCACACTAATCACTTGGATGAGGCCCAATGCACCTGACGCAAGAGCAAATCTCTGGCAATGAACTATTCAACCCATGATCGGGTACTCACTAAGACAAACTACTTCCCAACGCTTGCCTAGAGATCCTTTAAGAAGGGAATATGCCCTTATCATGGGGAGAAGGAAGGCAAGTCACACAGAGAACGTTGTCCCAGGGAGCATAGAGAACGATGTGGGAGTTCAACTCATCATCCTAGGCGAGATAACTAGGATGATGGCTATGGAAGACAAAAGCGTACGTGCTCCAAGCAAGCCCGTGAAGGTGTCGACCAGCTGCAACACTATGTTGGCTAAGATGAGCTCGCATACTCAACCAAAGAGAGCAAGGCAGACTTTGGTTAAGATGACTACTACCCTTTTTGTTCGATCCATACAAGAAGTCAAACCACTACATAAGTTTACTCCTTCCTCATTTGAGTTTTATAATGGCAAGTCTGAACTTGTACTCCACATTGGAGCCTTTACCAATAAGGTGGCCTTCTAGGCAAGCAATGAAGTGTTGACGTGCAAGATATTCCCCTCCAGTTTGGAGAGAACTATTCTCAAATGGTTCTAAGGTTGCCCATGAACTCAATTTTCTCTTGGGAGCAACTAACTGGTGAATTTGTCTCTTGATTCATAACCAATAGTTGGGAGGCAATGATGATTGACACACTCCTAGCATTACACCAGAAGCATGGTGAGACCCTTCATAAATATGCCTCGAGGTACCTAGACACATACATTGACATAGAGGACTATGATGAGAAGACTGCAATTGCCTCTTTCCATTTGGGCCTCTCTAGGGAAAGTGAATTGAGGAAGCATCTTACAATGTGGCCCCACGTAGCATGTCATACTTGCAAGAGCATATCAAAAGGTATGTCAAGGTTCAAGATGACAAGGGTCTAGCTTACCGGCCACTGTCTTCTCCAAAGAAGAACTAGAGGAAGGAGGACCATAATTCAAATATACCATCTCAGACTTAAAGTCCTTTGTAAAAGACAAGCAAGTTGGTTTGGTAGCAGTTACCAACCTTCAAGTAAGTTGTTTAGGTAGCAACTACAAAACCAACCCTCAAGCAATTTAGATAACAAATTACTTAACCAAAAAAAGAGTAGCTACTTCCTTTACAAAAGATGAATAAAGCTTAAAAAATAATGAAAGTAGATGGTTTATACATAATCAATATAAAAGTAGACAAAATAAGAAGCTATCTAAGGATGGGCTCCCTATGTCTTTCCAACTGCTGTGTAGTAGGGACCTGAATCCACGACCACATGGAGGTGTTTTTCCTATTAAGCTAAACGTGCCCCTGTTATACCTCTGAAGTGCAATTATAAAGTCAATAGCTAGAGGATTTCTGAGGATCCTCCACCTTCAGTTGGTACTAGAGGCACTTATGTAAGAGGCTTGGGCCATCACCTCGAAGGAACTTCTCCTTAATCTAGGAACTAGAAGATCTCTCTCGACCACAAAATATCTTTCCAAATTAGGGATGTTCCATCAATCCCAGCTGCCTTAAGATGTCACGCCCCGAATTTCCACAAACCCGGGGAGTGAGTGAAAAGGGAGAAGAAAAGTAAATGAAAGGTCATTAGGTTGGATAAATTGGTTTCTCATTCATTTTTCATGTTTTTCCAAAGTTTTTCAAGTCATTTTTCTTCCATTTTTAGCCTATTTCTTCAAGGTTTCTAAACCCCCCACCCCCTTTTGACATCATTCTCACCTATTAAAAGGTGTTTTACACACAAAACAAGTCTTATTAATTTTTCATAAAATTTTGACATAACATCCTTTGTTTCCAAGCCTTTTTTCCACCTAATATTCACAATATTTCATATGCATTATTATATCACAACCCACCCTTACTCGGTGGCCACAATCCATGTAAATTAAACATACATCCATTGTTTCAACATACACATATAATACTCATTACATAAAGATATCATACATATCAATTGGGTTTACACCCTTACACTTTAAAATGACCAAAGATCTAAATCCATTATTTTTTCAAATTAAAATACAACTCATTTGGGCTTATGCCCATACATACAAATATGCCCAAAGGTCAAACA